CTGGTGCGGACTCGGTGATAAAATAATGTCTACAGCCAAAGCCCAGACACACATGACACAGGGGACAGACTGACAGGAAAAGATTAAAAAACAATGATGCCGTATTACGTCAATGGCAGTCATTTTATGAATCTTGCAGATGCCTGAAGTTGCGAAAATCCCCAACACTATACAACATTGTCTCAGCATTATTACTGAATTCATCACTAATACTGTAGCTAGTTATCTGCTACAGTCTATGCTAAACATCTGCTCCCTGCTTTTACTGCAAATATTGTCTCTATATCAGTTATCGGCCTCTTGGAAACACATGAGGCAATCTTTTATTCAAGATTGTGTGTGTGTCCTCAGGAGAACTTCGAGCTCTTCCATGAGACCTTGTACCTGGCAGTGAAGGTGACGGACCACTTCCTGTCCCAGACCCACGTCCACAAAGAGATGCTGCAGCTGGTGGGCTCCACCTCCATGCTCATCGCCTCCAAGTTTGAGGTAAAGACGTCTGCTGAAACATTATTTATTATCATCATGGAGGAGGGACGGGAATGCCAGGACATGTCAGAACTAAACTCATTTTATTCATAATCATGCTTTGATTTTTAAGACTCTGAGGCTTGTTTTTTAAAGGTTTAGCCCCTGTAGATCTGACAGAGCTGTTGTCTCTGTATAGTGCTTTGTCTCTGTCTGTCTCTCTGGTCTCTCTCCCCTGGACCTCCAGTGATGTCTCTTGTCTTCAGGAGCGCAGTCCTCCGTGCCTGGACGACTTCCTGTACATCTGTGACGACGCCTACAAGAGGGAGGAGCTCATCGCCATGGAGACTCACATCCTGCAAACGTTGAGATTCGACATCAACATCCCCATCGCCTACCGCTTCCTGCGCCGCTACGCCAAGGTGTCTGTCCTGTGTGTGTCTGTCTAATGGGGCGTTCAGACCGCCGACGCAGAACGGTTTTCCGACGCTAGGGGCGTTCACACCTGAAAGCGGGTGGGCTTTGATGCTAACGCAGATGAGCTAGCGGCTTTTTGTGTAAATTTCTTCAAGAATGCAGCTGCAGCGTCTGTGTCCGGAGACCTTCAGAGACTTAATATAACAGCAGTATGTGTTCACGGAGGTGCGCCATACGTTTGTTTTATTATTAAACTGTATTTCCGCATCGGCGAACACGCTAGCAGCACTTGTTTACAGTCATGTGAGCATGAGAACTCAGTCTGGAGGCATGTGTTCACAAGCACTGTGTCTCCTATTGTCAGTCCTGGTTTAGCTCCTGTTTTGGCTCCTGTTTTTGCTGTTTACGAGCATCTTCAGTCTGCTCGCTCAGACCTCTAGTTTCCCTGGGCCTCTTTGCAGCGCTCTAATTGGTCGCTGCACGTGCTACCGCCGGAAAAAGTTCAAAGTTTTTCTCCTGTCTGCGCCTCTGCCACACGTCATCATTGACTTTGCATTGAAGTCGCCGCATGATCCGGTCTGAACGCCTCAGCAGTGTGTCCTGTGCCTCTCCTGTGTGTGTGTGTCTCCTGTGTGTGTGTGTGTGTGTCTCTCCTGTGTGTGTGTGTGTCTCTCCTGTGCGTGTGTCTCTCCTGTGTGTGAATGCGTCTATGGAGCTGCTGACTATTGCTCGGTTCTCCTGTGTGTGTTTCTCCTGTGTGTGTGTCTCACCTGTGTGTGTGTCTCACCTGTTTGTGTGTCTCCTCAGTGTGTGAATGCGTCCATGGAGCTGCTGACTCTGGCCCGGTTCTTCTGTGAGCTGAGTCTGCTGGAGATGGATCTGGTGGTGGAGCGAGGGTCTGTGATGGCGTCTGCGTGTCTGCTGCTGGCTCTGCTCACCAAAGACCTGGGAGGATGGGTACGGCGGCTCTGGGATTGACCTGGGGTTGTGTTAAGCTCTGTCCAGGCTCTGACCCTGTGTGTGCCCCTGTAGACCCCGTGTCTGCAGTTCCACTCTGGGTACTCCCCTTCAGACCTGAGGCCTGTGGTCCAGAAGCTGCACCGAGCTCTGAGCGCCGAGCCCGACGACAAGCTGAAGGCCATCCGCAACAAGTACTCTCACAAGTATGTATCCGAGTACTCTCAGTGTGTCCGAGTAGTCCCGCAAGTATCGTGAGGTCAGTAGAAGCAATAGTTTTTTCCGGAAAGCGTCTCGTCAAACACAATCCGAAAACAAGGCTCTGGATCTCAGTCCGGATTTTCCTAAAACGTTTTAATAATTATTTTAGTATTTTATAAGGCTGTCAAACGATTAAAATGTTTAATCGAGTTAATTACAGCTTAAAAATTATTTAATCGCATTTCAAACTATCGGCAAAATGCCATATTTTTCTGTAAATGGTTGTTTGAATGGAAAGTTAAATTACAACTTAGTGGACATATGTACTGTATTTGTTTGTTATAAAAATAATAAATCCATATAAAACAGCATTAACGTTATTAACATTCTGTCTTTCTGTTTAGACTCAGCCCAAAACTATTGTTTGTTACAGATGAGGAACATTTCAAAACAGTCTGAGGCAGAATGTCATTAAATCTGTTTGATTTGTTCACAACATTTTACTTTTGGGCACAACCAACATGAACAGGTTGTGGAATGGAAAATTAAGGTACCCCAGCTTTAATTTAGAGGGTGCGCTTCGGGAGAAGACACTTAAGAGACTGAGGCTCCGCAGTCCAGCTTCAGGGCTGCATATATTGTGTGCACCGGTTACGCAAAGACACGTACGCACACTACAAGCAGAGAATAGTTCTGTGCGTGGTCTTGGATATGACATTACGTGGCGCCGTTCGCTGTGATCACAGCCGCTGGAGGAACTGCAGTCCAGAGCTCAGGCCGCAGAGTTCATACAGGAGAAAACGAGTGCCCCAGGGTCAAGCGTGTATTCTTTTAAAACTTGGATTCCCAGAGGGCCTTCCTGCTCTGTTGCCATCTCACACACGCATGTGTCCGGTGCATTCTGAGTGTTGTTATGGGATGCATGGGCATGTGTCAATCACGTTAATTTTTTTAACGTAATTAATGAAAAAAATGAACGTGCATATTTTATTTACATTTGTTCCCCTCGTTGGTGGCTTTACATTTCCCCAACACTCCTTGAAGTTTTTTGAACTGCGGCTTTTTCTTATTAGAAGACATACTATTGTAAGATCCCTGTGAGACACTTTTTGACTCTTTGGGCTGAGAGCTGATTGGCTGAGTGAGGGTCGTCCGCCAGGAACTAGTGTCATGGATTTTAATAGTGTCCTGTTGTTGTCTGAAGGTTACGTACCCCAGCTTTAAAGGAGCAGTAAGCGATTGTGTTAGCTTAGCCGTAGCCCCAAATGGAAACCACTCCCCCCTCCCCTCCCTCTCCACCAAACCAAACATCCAGCATTTTCTTTGTCACAACAGGGAGAGTGGGCGGAAAACGTGAAATTGGCATTTTCTGTTCAGCCCTTTTAGGTTTTAGAAACTCCGGTGCACGTACTCGCGAGAAACAGGAAGTGGGTGAAGGCGGTAAACACATCCCATTGGTTCGTTGGGGATGAACGAATCCCATTGGTTTATTTTTATCGGTCCGCTCCAAAATATTTGTTAGTAATTTTTGGAGACTACAGGCATCTGGTCAATTCCATTACTATTTGAAAACAGATGATAACTTTAGGGTTTAGGGACGTTTTCCCACAATATTTAAAAAGATATGTTTTTAAAAGATGCAGTGTTTTCCAGAGTGACTAAAACACAAAATCAACTTTTTTTTTTTTTAACTCAAACTTTAAGTTTATTGTAGTGCTCTCTACAAATCCTGGTCATTTGTTTGACATTTGAGTGCAAATTAGATAAATCTCACTTTTGAGCCTAAAACAGTCTGTGTGGCGCCCTCTCAACCTTTTCGGTGGTACTACATTTGAATTGGTCCTGGCCTCTCCATTGGCTCTGTAAATCTGTGTGAAGTCAGTTTGAGTGTGTGACGTGCGTCTGTCTGCTCCAGTGACATGAACCCATCCAACTCTCTCACACGCCCCAGCTGCAGGTTGGAGTATTCTGGCGACATCTAGTGGATTAAAATTAAATTACATGAGTTGAAGCCTTTTCTGCTGAGATAATTCTGTGGCAGAGGTTCAGTTGTGTAGCTCTACAATTATTTTAGTGTGTAAACAAGGGTGGAATCAGACTTTCTGGTGTGTAAACAATTGGTTTTAAGCAGCAATGACGACTCTGTTTTTCGTGTGACTAGTGAGCTGTCAATCACAGCCCAGGCCACGCCCAACTCTAAGCCCCCCTTCTTATTCCTTGGTCCTCCAGGCGACGCCCTTTTAAGAGAACATTATCAAATGTTCATGTGGGCGGAGTCAGGCTGGGCACAGGTGTTTAGTCGCTCTTTAAGATCGTTCTAAAATATGAATACATGATTAAGTGAAAGCTGTGTCGTGATTAGGGATGTAAATCGGTGACCGGTTAACCGGTGGTTGACCGTCACAGCGTTAACCGGTCAAAGCTGTCGGTTAAAAATAAGAAAAAGCGGAGAGGGGAGGTCTTTTCATAACGCTATTTTAAGCCCTATTTGCACGATGTGACGAGCGGGTCCCTATCTAGCTGTGTGCGCCAGTGCATTAGTAGACTACGGGCGACTTTCATGGCGCACGCTCCACATATGCACGCAGCCACACGCGCGCGCGCACACACACACACACATACACACACAAACACTTTCCCCCCCTCCATACGTAACATCCACACGCATCATCTCTCCCCTCTGTTACCGCCGAAGTTCCACACTAGTGCAGGTCAGAACTACATTGGAGCTTATATTTACACACACACACATACATGTATTGTACACACACACACATACACACATACATACACACATGTATTGTACACACACACATACCGGTCTGTCGCGCTCCTCTGTGTCTCGCAGCCCAAAGAATCCTCGCAAATACGCGGCTTCAGTCAAACACATGAAACCTGTTTGTGCTGCTGGTCCTTGTCATTAGATCAGATCCACACACATCACTTTTAAACTTTAGCGGAGACCTGCGAGACGCGGCTCGTCACTCGCTGCCCTGACCATGTGGACGAGCCGTCTTTTGCTTAAAAATGCTTTACCCGCAGCACAGAATGGGAAGATTAAAAAAGCAGTTCTCTGTGCGCAAAGGTGCCGAAGCTGTTGCGGGTTTTGGCGCCGCTGTCTCAGCTCTGATCTAGTAGAACGCATAGATAAACTTATGAAAAGTACGCGGCTCGAAATGGCTGCTATTTCAAAGAACGTGGAATATTTTTAACTACGCGGTTAACCGGTTTCAACCGGTTAATGAGGCTCGGTGGTCGGTCATGAAAATGCATAGTTTTTTACATCCCTAGTCGTGATGTTGTGACTGTTCTTTCAGAGTGTTCTTCGAAGTCGCCAAGACGCCCGTGATCGACGCAGAAACGCTGGAAAAGTGGTGGAAGTCTGAGAACCAGGAGGAGCCGATCTTGTCCTGAACTTCGGCCCGGACTCTGTAAATACTTGTACATATGTTCTATATTTATACAGTTTGTGCGTCTTTTTTAATAATGTTCAAAATAAAAGTTGAGTCCTGTGCGACAGAAGTTGATGCCAGTAGAAGTTTTATGTCATATTTAAACAGTTTTATTACTAACTAAATAAACCATGTTGTACATAGTTGTTACTTTTTATACAGATTTTACAAGTTTTATACTTTGTTCAGTTGTATCATGTCCATGTTTTTGTACAAAAGACAAAACGAGGCTGTTTTAAAATGTCACGCCGAGCTCTTATTAAAAGTCTTTGGAAAAAACTGGTTTTGGATTCAGTCGTTTTTGAATAATTAGGTAAAATGATCTGGAACAACTCATACTTCAGTTTTTATTTCATTGATGTAATTACAGTGAGACGACAAGACGAGGACGGCCAAATTTATTTAAAAAACTAATTTAAAACTAGGCACTTTCTGGTCACTTGTCTTATCCATGGTAAGTTTTTGTAGTTTGCATGATGTATTTATTTTGCCCAAAACACATAATTGCATATGTCAAAATAACTAGCACCGGTTTCAAAAAGGGGTCGGATTCAAGATGAAAGAGTCTGAATAGTTTAGAAAGATTAATCTTGTCTTGGTAGAAATAAAATGAAGCTTTAGCGGAGGTTCAGGATGGTAGACTTCACCAGGCTGGACCACTCTAACCCTGCCTTTCCTAATCAGCTCACCTCCCTGCAGCCGTGTCAATCAAGCCAGCGTTTAAAAGCAGAACACGGCTCATCAAACAGCCTTTCAAGCTGCAACCACCTCCGCCTCAGGATTTCTTCTTTCTCACATTCACCTTGCCTTGTTGCCACCGCCACTGTCTAGGCCCCGGGGGATCACAATCTGCACCCAGGCGCAGATCCCTCAGAGCACGACCACAGCCGGGGCCTATGCGCCTAACAAATAAACTCAAACCAAAAAATCTCTCATACGCACAAAAACTCAAAACCCATCTTGTCTCTTGTAGTCTCTCCAGGTTGAAATTGGGTTCTTCTATACCAGTGTTTTGGTGAAGGTAATAACATCGCAGAACCTTCTATCGTCTGCCAGAACCCAATACTTTTAACACTTGGGCTACCGTTGGGTCAAAATTACCCACCACAGATTATTAAAAGTAGAAGAAAAATATCTAAATTAGGGTATAAATGACTCCGGGCAGGTCAAGGTAGAAAAAAAACACCAAAATCACTGGGACCATAAAAGCTGAAGAGACAAGAGTTTAGTCAACAACAAATCTATAACCAACACCTTTTTCACAAAGATAGAAATCCTGGTTTCATTCCTTGTTTTGTCGTTAATGATTTGAGAATCATAACAAGACCTTTTTTAGTTCTGCGCCACATGGTACTTTACCAGTGAGATTAGCTCCACGCGGTGAGTTCTGGCGCCCGGATCAGACTTTCTGATTGGTGAAACGGTGGAGGGCGGGACATCAAAATGAAAATAAGATTCAGAGGCTGGAAAAGTAATTTATAAATTCAAATATCTCTGAACTTCTGTTATCAGTTAAAGAAGTATTGGGAAAGAACAGTTATGACAGATTAGGGCCCTTTAAAGTGGTTCTCACCCCCGCTCCTCGGAGCTTACGTCACTCACATTTCCTGTTCAAATCTTCCTCTAAATGGGCGTAGCCTGGAGGACTAAAGGGGGCGTGAACGAGACTGGGCCGTTTACATTGCTCTGGGCGGGGGGCTGCAGACGTCAGGTCCAACTTGCAGACGTCAGGTCCAACTTCTGTGCCAGTGTTGGCGCCAGATTCAAAATTCAAATGTAGTAATACAGGTCGCCAGCAGATGGCGCCTCAGGCCCCGTCTACACGTAGCAGGGTATCTCACAAACCGAAGATATTTTCCTACGATCTGGCCTATCATCCACACAAACCCGGAGTTTTCTGTTGATAAAAACGAAGGTTTCTGAAAACTCCGGCCAAAGTGAAGATTTGGGAATTCTCCGGTTATGCGTTTGAGTGTGGACATAAATAACCGGAGTATTCGGCTGTACGTCACTACCAGCGTGCTGCTCTGACGTCACACGCGCGACCTGTGTTTACATCAGAAACAACATGGAGGCCATCAAAACCGCTTTTGTTTTAACGATTGTTCAGGCACTTTTTGCTTGCTTGTTTTTACAAGCTCAAATACTGCTTCATGTTGAAGAGCACAGACGAAGGAGCACTTTAAGGTCGGCTATTTTCCGCCAAATAACCATCCCTCGTCCAAGACATGTTCCTCGTCAAAGACGGCAACGGCAATTTTGGGTCAGACCGGGACGCACTGCCAGCTGGTGGGAGAACTTTGAGATGGAAGTCGTCCTCCCGGAGGAAGGTAGGTTTGTAGGTTTGAAATGTAATTGACAACGCATGTATGCGGTTAGGTGTGGATGCCGTTTTTTAAAAAACCGAGGCTGTGTGGACAGAAGTTTTTTTTTAGGCGGAGGGCGGATTTATAAATGCCCTGCTACGTGTAGACAGGGCCTCAGACGGTTTTAGGCAGAAAGTTTAACTTTCAACTAATTTGCACCAAAGTGACAAGATTATGACCAGGATATGTAGACAACACTATTGGACACTCATTTATACCGTTTATCAGCAAAAAAAAGTGGATTTGAGGGTGAGTTGTCCTTTAATGAGGACTTGACATGAAAATCTTACATGTTCCCACTTTTAAATGTTTCATTCAGAGTATTTGTGAATCACTGGCAGGTAAATTTGACCAGAGAGTCTTGTGTCAAACCCATGGATGTATTTTATTGTAATTGTACTTTACTCTCAGGTTAGAAACTCTCAAACTCTGCTCTTCAGGCTTTTAACAAGCTGCAGTTTGCCACAGCTCACGCTAAACTCAGAACCATGTCTTGCACTCCTGGTAAACCCCTACACCACTAATGAGTATAGTAACCTACCATAGTAAGAGCGCCCCCCTGTGGACACACGCCCAGCAAACAGGCAACACAACTATTGCGTTATTAACATTATATAAAAATCAGTTCATAAAATAAAGATTTGTCCGCAGCTTTGATGTAATCCGGCTGCTGTGGAATCATTTTCTAAAGGGAACAACAAGGTCATTATTGTTATTCTAAAATTAGAACCAAACTGTTATGATTAAGAGATCCTTTCTTTGTGACACACTGAGGAACTTCCGTGTTGCATCAGCAGTTACAGAACAGTAGAAATGAGGAGCACAAGAGAAATCAACAATAACTCTACCATCTAAAAGTAACGTAATAAAGTAGTAAATTTTCTTATCTGATTATTTTATGACAGATGTAAACCATATTCTAGTTTACATCTGTACATTTGTTAGCAGAGTAAAGTGACAGTGACACATGTTGCACAAATGAGTGATGATTCTGAAGAGATAAAATAAAAACTTTGGCACTACAGACCACACTAAGAAACATTCACTTTGGTTTAAATGACTTCAAGCAGTAACTGAAATAAATAAAATCAAACTTTCTTGTTTTGGGCTCCACCCCCTTTTCCATTTGCAACGCATGAGGGCCCTTTGAACACATGTTGATTATTTTCTTTCAGATTGATTATGGTAAACCATTGTCTCTTTTGTTCTATGAATGTATTATACTTTACCTCCTGAACCTGTTTTTCCCTGAGTTCCGGTCTGAACTAGAAAAACATTTGGACAAATAAACCTTATACAATAAAGACAATAAAGTACACTATAATTAGTCTTCAGGCCGTTTACCGTCACAACTCGTCAGGCTGCATTTCACAACTAATCTGTGATGACAGGAGGCGTCACTCTTATGTCAGCGCTGTCCCTCTTGTGAATGGAGTTTTAGAACTTTGGTGTTTTTTAAGATTGTCATGGTCCTCCTGTGTTCTCCCCTGTGTGTGTGTGTGTGTCAATCTGGGAGCAGCCTCCACCAGCTGCACTCACTCACCACCTGCAATCCATTCACAATCAAGCTCTCCATATAAACCCGGCTCTTCCACCACTCTCTGCCAGTTCTTCAGTTCACCACCCCTGGTAACGTTGCTCGTGGCTCTTGTTTGATCAAGTCTTGCAATTTTGGTATTTTCTCTAGTGATGGCAATATGAAGCCCCATGAAGCCTTGAGGGATCGCAGCCTATTACTCGGCCCATGAGTCGAAGGCTCGAGGTGAATCATGCTCCACTACGCCATCATGTGGACAAAGAAATACATAACACTCTTAAGTGCTTACAATGAATGGTGAGATCTAATGTTAAAATGTATATTTACAATCTATGGTCTAACGTGTTGTGTTTGAAATGATGCTTCAGGAACTATGAACTATTTGAGTCTTTCAGTCAATTGTGTTGATACAACAAACACATCCAAAGTAATAGTTCTACAGAAAGTGATTAATGGAGGAAAAACTACCAAGAGGTGGATTAATTAAACACAACAAACCATTTATTCCCAATAAATAAATACATTTACTTTGCAACACAAAATGTATTATGGGTAGACCAGGATTCGAACACTATATCTTCTGCTTCGGAGTCCGTCATAGACCGACTGCGCCACACAGCTGTTGTAAAATGTATCATCCAGCGTATTATTACTAATAACTTGTAGCCTTGATATATGAGGTTTTACTGAAGTGAAACGTTTTTAATTGTATTTCATATGAAGTAGTTTCTCTATACTTAGTACAGGACTGCTCCACATCACGCACACACAGGTACGCACACACACGTGCGCACACAGAGGCAGACGGGGACAGCCAATACAGTCTATGGTACAGCCGCGGATCACAAAGCACCTGTCAAAGCAATGCACTCTCCGAACGATATGAAGCACTATATGAACCGTCACGTGGTGCGGCCGCTACGCGAGGCTTCGAACGTCACCACACACGTGACCAATACACGCCTCGACCCACACTTCACAAGAAACGCCCCCAGATTACTCGGTCCACGCTTCGAAGACTCGGTCCGCTCAGCACATCACTAATTTTCTCAGTTTCTT